TGTGTTGAGCGTGTGTGTGTGTGTGTGAGGAGCTTGGCATGCGTGTGTGTGTGGAGTGTGTGACATGCGTGTGTGTGTGTGAGTTTGGCTGTGTGTGTGATATGTCTGTGCAAGTGTGTGCACAGATGCTCGTATAACTTCGTATAATGTATGCTATACGAAGTTATTACGCACACACACACGCTCCACACACACACATACGTTCCACACACACAGCCACGCTCCACACACACACACACGCTCCCCACACACACACACGCTCCACACACACACACACACCCAAAACACACACACACACGCTCAACACAAATACACGCACTCTACACACACACACACGCGCCACACACACACACACCCCCCCCACACACACACACACGCTCCACACACACACAGATTCTTCAGTGCATTTCTCTATATACTGTAGAATATATCTGCTTCTCAGAGATGGACTACATACTTTTCACTCCACCTTTTGAAATACCAAGCTAATATTTTGATTTTATTATCTACTGCAGACTTTGATGTTTTTTCTTTTGAATCTCACATTTCAATTTCATTTTTGACAGGTTGTTATATTTTGACCTTTTTTGTTATGTTAAAGTTTCAGTTTTTATGTTGCATATTCAAATTTCTTTACTTGATTCCAAAACCTGGCTCTTTCAGAATGATGAACTTCCTCTTGTTAGAACTTGTTACTCTGCCATGCGTCACAAAGAGGGTGACATTGTGCGTGTCCGAGATTGTGTGCTGCTGCGTTCTGGTCCCAAAAAGACAGACCTTCCTTTTGTTGCCAAGATTGCTGCTTTATGGGAAGATCCTGAGACATGTAAGTTTTACTGTTGATTACCGGTTGTAGTTGTAGATATTAGAATTTATATATAGTATGTTTTTGTAATGGGTTTTCCACTTTTTTATCCTGAAGTTTTTCTTTCTATTTCCTTTTTCATTGTTTTGATGATAATGATAATAATAGTAATTATACAATTTCAGAAAGGTTGGCCTTTTATGTATATTGAATTTAATTGTTACTTATACTTTTTTTTCTTCCAAACAATTAGTTGAAAGAAGTACTTAGGCATGACTTTTCTATTGCAGCGGACATGATGATGTCAATCCTGTGGTACTACCGGCCAGAGCATACTGAATCAGGAAGGCGAGAAGAAGACCTTCCTGATGAGATTTTTGCTTCCAAGCATCGAGATCACCTCAGTGTGGCTTGCATTGAGGACAGGTGCTATGTCCTCACTTTTAATGAATACTGCAGGTAAGATTCCTTAGAAGCAGCAGTAAATTTTATGTGAATAAGAATTCAAAAACATTTACTGTTTAACTGTATGAGTAAACAATTTTAAATAGATTAGGTTTATTATACATAAAACTTTTATTCATACCTGTTTCACTATATATAATAATCCCTTTTACTCACTAGTTTTATATCACTTTACATTTTTTTGGTTTTCAGTTGTCACAGGCAATAAGTTATCAACATTTAGAAATTTATCTGTCAATAAGTTTTTTATGGAGTTTTGAGATTTCATAATTTTTTATCATAATTGCTCGGCATCATGATTCATAAAAGGAAGCCATTTATGGGGTGTCTTGTATTGTTTATTTCAGAACTACGAAAATCACGATTAACTTTCTTTTGATTAACTTTCTTTTATTTTATTTTCCAGATATCGACGATTTCTTCGACTCTTCCAAGAAGGGGTTTACCCCATCACAACCCCTGTTCCAGATCCAGAAGAAGGATATTCTCGCAAGGATCGACAGCCCCCAGGGTGTGTGGTTGGGGAACTGCTTTTCTTCTGTCGCAGAGTTTATGATTACCGTCAGAAAAGGTTATTGAAAAATCCTTACTGAGGGTATGTTGGGGGGGAGGGGTTGGAGGACACATATGGAAATGAGCAATACTGTGGGGTGTGTAGTGAAACCAATGAAAACTTACATGACAATGGTGATGGTGGTGACAGTGATGCAGCACCCAGCATCCTTGAACTCAATGCACTCTTTATCTTGTGGCCAATAAACTGAGGAACTTTTGTAGGTTCCCTGGATGTCTGAAGGCATTCCAGATGAAGTTATTTAAATGAAGCCCATTTTTATGAGTTTACTTTTAAGTACTGAAGGATATATTCATATAAATAAATATATAATATATATATATATATAAATATATTAATATTTATGAACTAAATATATTATATGAGTGAGTTATCAGAAAGAAAATCAAAGGTGAAGTAAAGGAAAGTACGACAGTGGAACTGAGCAAAGTCATCCGTAAAAATTACTGCCAATGCTTCTCATACTTCCCATAATTAGTGTCACAATAAGTATTTTGTCATATGATAAGCCAATAGGCCTGTACAAAACATATGAACTTTTTATAAATCAACATTGCTTGCTGAGAGTATCCATGCAGTATTCCCATATGGTGTTACTATTATTTATGATGAAACGTGGATGTTTTAGTGATTATTTCAGTGTTGCCAGTGTATGAACCGTTTCATAGTCAATGTATGAGTTAAGCAATTTTACCTTAATACTTCCAAGAGTTATTTTCTAAACCAAAGTTTCTGATAATCTTTGATCTATTTATATTCCTATGATTCTTGTCTAGCCAAATACTGTCAGTGTTTAGGAATTTGACAGATATAGACTCTTTTCTTTGACTGGTTAACTTGCCCACAATAAGTAGTTAGATAATCTTCAAAGTTATAAGTTATCCATAAGGAAACAGTCACAAGAAATCAATCTCTATCTGCTATCCAGTGAAAACACGGCCATTTTACTTGAAGTCAAATAGTAAATGTAGGGGTTAGTGGGAAAGGGTTTGGGATTTAGTTTTGGCCAGGTTGGTCATTTCCAACCCAGAAAGGATCATCATTTTATATATTATGTAGAGCCATTTAACACATATCTGACCAAGAATGCATAGCAGATATTACAGTATTGTAAGGAGGTTATAAAAAAATAATGATCATATTATTTGGATTAAAAAAAAAGAAAAAAGAAGAAAAAAAAGGCACAGGATATAGCACACAATATCTCACATGTAAAGCAGCACAGCATTTTATCAGTAATTGCACTTACCATGATTTTTTGTTTTTGCTGTCAAACATGATAGTTATTTAGACAGACTTTGTGTTCTCTGTCAGAATTGATTGAAAGGAAATTGATTTATTGTAGTTCATAAGTGTTGACTTTGTTTGTAGGCTATTGTTGCTTTAATTGTTATCATTTTACCTTTGCCAATTATTTTGACAATCATTTTGTAAGTTTGGTTGGTATGGAAGATTTGTTGAAGACATGGTTTGAATTTGTCTCTTTGTTGCATTTAGAGAAATCAGATGTTCAGCTATTTGGTAATCAATAATGCATCTGTTGCATCTCTTGGGTATGCATAGAAGCCTTTCAAATAGATATGGGACGTCCATTTTATTTGAATATATTGTTTCCATTCCACCAGTTGAAGTCTGCTTGACCTCTTGACTGTTATCCAATATCAATTTTTTTAACTTTTAAAATGAAAAGCTTTAATCAGAATTGAATGATGAATATATATATACATACATACATAAAGTATAAACTTGTACCTTCTTCATTTTTTCCTGTCAGTTCTTTTATAATTGTGACTTTGATTTCCCTTGATACTTTTAATTAATGAATTTTAATCAGTCACTGACCTATAAAACTATCCTGCAGATTTCTTAGTCAGTTATGTATCTTGGTCTGATAACCTCAGTTTAGTTGGAATACAGGTCTCCAGTATAATTACAGTTCAGACTCAGAGTATCCTCTACTTTTATATACATTCATACATTACTACAAGTCTTCAGAGTCTCTTGGAGTAAATCTTTCCTGCTGTCCATTGTCTTCATTTAGCAATTAGGTTCTGTTAACATGTCATATAGCTCTGCTGTATCTTTTTTTTCTCTCTCTTTTTGCTCTTCTTTTTTAACAGTGTACTTCCTATAGCATTCAGTCTTTCTCTTTCCATTCCAAGTATGATAATTGGATGACATTTGAATAGATAAAGGGACTTCATTGTGTATTGGACTTGGATCTAAATGCATTTTTCTTATTGTTGCCTGAAGTTTCTAAGATCCGTATTTTGTGAATTGTAATCATTTACAATATATTTTTATGTATAGGTTGTACATTTTCTTTTAGTTTACAGTAAGTCTGCTATTCAGAAAGAAAATCAAACAGTACTTGATTATCATTCGCTGAAGTGAAATTTAGAATTCCAGTCCTCTTATTATAGAATGACATGGATTTTGCCTTCAGTCATATTTCTGGTTAGAATTTCCCCTGTTGACTGATAACTGTAGATATATATGTGATTACATTTCATTGGTTTTCTTTCTTTTTTGTGTGTGATTAACTACTAATCGATTTGGTGAAAAAAATGAAACAAAGAATAACCTAAAGTCATTATTTTGTGTAAAGCAAGAAAATTTAAATAAAGTTTAAGAAAAAGTGTTAACTTGCACAACCAGATGCTCAAGTCTCAAGTCTTTACTACAGCAGACTGGGAACTAAAAAATACAATTCACGACTGACTCAAGGTGTCCATTCATGTCATGTTAGAGCCACTCACATGTGTACCTTCATTCTGAGATGTGTGATCATATTGCATTGCTTTTGCACACTTAGGGATTTAGGATGAACATGCAGTTAACATTGAAAATAAAAGATCTAAAAAGCCTTATATCTCGTCGGCTGACTTGTAATGTTTTATATATTATTCAGATGAAACACACTTGATTAAAACTCTTGCTTCTTCCACTGAAAAAGGGTTTAAAAGATACATGGAGGTATATTGTGTTTAAATTATTGTTCTGCACAGTCTAGGTATAGACTTTTATATACATATTTTTTTTTTTTACAAGGAACATTTGTCAAGTGGAATTGTAAATTATGTGATTGTCATGCTTTATTTTCCTTCTAAGCACACTTTCTTGTCCTCACCTTTTTGTATGCAGGAATGAGTGTGCAAGACAAAAGTTAAATTAGGTGTGTGTTTTGATGAGTCTGTTATTAATATCTACCAGTAGTGTCTAGATAGGTGACCTTCCTTCATAGATCCTTATCTAGAGGAGAGCTTTTCTAGTGAGCCTGTATGGGCAGAGTCTTCACTGTTAGTTTATGTTGTGTTAGTGTGTAGATGATAGTCTTTGGGTAATTTGTTATGGCAAGGAGTCTATATTATTACAACAATTGAGTATGATAACTAAGATATGTAAATAAGAATAGATTTATGTTTAAAATGAAATAAAAGGACAAACTTGTGGACTTCGTTTGTACAGCCTCAACGTTCCCCCTTTTATAAATTTATACCAGTGTTTTGAATGAATTGAAGATTACGGATTCCGTGTGATGAATGTTGGGCGACTGGCTGCAGCAAATATTAAGCATGAATGATCAACAAGACTTCAGATGTTATCCCAATTCATTTTAGTTCATGTAACTTTCTAATTCTTTTTTATATTCATAACAATAACTTTTCATCCTAGAAGACAGAATAACAAATACTGAAGGTGAGATTCCAGGAACAGACAACATTTAGGTAACAAGGGTCTCATGTTTTGTTTCATTCTTTGCTATTCTACTGCAATTCTCTTGTAATGGGAGAGAACTGTATTTGCAAAATTATAACACAGTATTATAAATAGTCCAACACTTAAATAATATCTCGGGGTTAATAAAAAGTAGTAATAATATCATAATACTGATGACAACTTTAGAAATAATAGATTGTATAATGTAATAACAATACCAGATAATGACATAATGGTAAAATATATAGAGAGAGGGAGAGAAAGCTTGTTGGAGGGAGTTGGAGGTGAGAGAGAGTTAAAGGGAGCGAGAGAAACAAAGATCTTTTAGTGAGAGTGAGAGAGAAAGAAGAAAAGAGAGAGAGAGAGAGAGAGAGAGATACACAGAGAGAGAGAGAGAGATACACAGAGAGAGAAAGACAGAGAGAGAGATACAGAGAGAGAGAGAGAGAGATACAGAGAGAGAGAGAGAGAGATACAGAGAGAGAGAGAGAGAGAGAATACATGAGAGAAGAGAGAGAGAGAAGAGAGAGAGAGAGAGAGAGATGAGAGAGAGAGAGAAGAAGAGAAGAGATACAGAGAGAGAGAGAGAGAGAGAGAGATACAGAGAGAGAGAGAGATACAGAGAGAGAGAGAGAGAGAGATACAGAGAGAGAGAGAGAGAGATAGAACAGAGAGAAGAGAGAGATAGAGAGATAAGAGAGAGAGAGAAGAGAGAGAGAGAGAGAGAATACAGAGAGAGAGAGAGAGAGAGGAGAGAGAGATACAGAGAGAGAGAGAGAGAGATACAGAGAGAAGAGAGAGAGAGAGATACAGAGAAGAGAGAGAGAAATACAGAGAGAGAGAGAGAGAGAAATACAGAGAGAGAGAGAGAGAGATACAGAGAGAGAGAGAGAGAGAGATACAGAGAGAGAGAGAGAGAGAGAGATACAGAGAGAGAGAGAGAGAGAGAGATACAGAGAGAGAGAGAGAGAGAGAGGAGGATACAGAGAGAGAGAGAGAGAGAGATACAGAGAGAGAGAGAGAGAGATACAGAGAGACAGAGAGAGAGAGAGAGAGAGAGAGAGAGATACAGAGAGAGATACAGAGAGAGAGAGAGAGAGAGAGATACAGAGAGAGAGAGAGAGACGAAGAGAGAGAGAGAGAGAGAGAGAGAGAGAGAGGAGATAGAGAGAGAGAGAGAGAGAGATACAGAGAGAGAGAGAGAGAGAGAGAGAGAGAGAGAGAGATACAGAGAAAGAGAGAGAGAGAGATACAGAGAGAGAATCACTGTGTGTAATCTTTGTGTTTATGTCATTAGCTATCAAATAATTCCAAACAGTAAGGCACTGTATGTGTGGCCACATTCAGGAATATTACTGAATATTGATAAGTAATAGTTTACAATATGGACAACTTTGCCAACTCCAAGTCACAAAATTTATGTAACAATCTAAGTTGACGTGGCTGGGCATACCGTCTGGGTGGATGAGGGGGTTCTGCCTTAACACCCCTCGGCAAACATAGTTTTCTCCTCGTTATGCATGGAATGAAAGAGCTAACACTCAGGAGGACCATGTGGACTTAGGTTGTGAACAGGGCTCTCTTTGAAATTTTTTCTTTATTTGTGGCATTACTGTTTGCATCTACAGATTACTTCTTTGTCCTCTACCTAAATATCATCTTTAATTTGCCCTAGCTTGGATCAACCATGCTGTAAAGATTAACTTTGAAAATATTTTCCTGTATGGTTAAACAGATCAGTGACATACAGCCACTTTGTTAAAACTGAAATAGGCCTGAACCAAGGAACTTTTACACATATCAACATACAAATACAGAGGTGTAAATGCATTGCTGTATCTGTAATAGATATGCATTTGCTTACAATTATGGGATTCCTTTAGTTTAGTCTATTTTGATTTTGAAATTTTCTTCCACCACATATTACAGGGAAAGAAGTTATTCACTATTAAAATCAATATAGACAATATATACAATGTAAAGGGATCACCATGGCCTCTATACCTTTGACAAAGGCAACAAACATTCCACCATCATAATTTTGGACATGATACTTGGCTGACCTCTGACTGGTTCTTTTATTAACATTTAGTCAACAAAAATTTAGTCAAAATTTAGCTAGCATTATCTAGCTTCCCTGTCCCTACTCTTGCTTTTTGACTGTTTGGAGTTCTCAGTCCTCAAACCAGGATTTAATGCAGACCTAAAAATCCAAACCTAACCTTTCCTACTTTCTATTCATTTCCTAGGAAGCCCCCCAAGTATCCCACTTTGGACATTAACCAGTTGGATCTGGTTGCATTATGGAAATCACGGTGCCGAAGAAACGAGCAATGGGTAACGTAAATAGCCAAAATCCTGGGTGTTCACAAACACCAATGAGCGTTGACCAAACTCTGCGCCTCCCCTTTGCAAAATTATTTAGTGTAAACTTTTAAAGATTTTTTGCCATTTTCCAATGTCCATAATTGTCTTTTGATTTGCTTTATCCAGATGATAATACCTTATTTTCTGCACAAAGACTCCATATCATCTCTCTATGTAGTGAATAACTCAATGTAAGAAGAAGAAGAAGAAGAAGAAGAAGAAGAAAAAGTATGGAACATTCGGTTATTTGCGTCATATATCAAATTTTCTTTGTAATTTTCAATTATCTGTAATGCAGCCTGCACCACTGGTCACAGTAGCCAGGAATATGGTGCACAGCATGGAAATGGTGTCCTTCCTGGAGCAGACGCTCTTCCAGTAATGGCTTATGCTTGTTACATCCAACTTTCAATTATCGATGGGAATGATGCTAAAGCCTCCTTCTAAGCACCAAATGTGTCAAATCACACTCCAAGAGATTTGTGCACTCTTGGTGAGTCTTTTCCATCACCCTGGCCTTTGCTCAACATGATAAGTTGGTGTCACTCGGCATGCGGCCATTTTGCCCTATGATGGCATGACATGAACATGCTGTCATCGGGCAAAGGACTGTAGGCCAGGTGATGCAAGTGTGATTTGACCACTTAGAAAGGGGCTTTAGCATTTTTTCATTTATAAACGAATGTGGAATGTGACGTGCGAAAGATGTGACTGGAAGAATGCTGTGACCAGTGGTGCAGGTTGTATTACGAAAAACTGAAAATTATGAAAAAATTATAAATATGACACAACATAATTTTCCATAATCCACCCCCCCCTAAGTTATCTACTAATTAGAGAGACAATATGGAATCTGTGCAAGGAAAACAGCATAGAAGCTAAAAAAAAGTTTACACAAAATAATATGCAAATGGGAGGCACAGAGTCTTGTCACCGCTCATGAGTGTTTGTGCATGCCTGGCCTATGCACTGCACACCCAGGGTGTTGGCTACTTACATAATCCACTACCCATATTTTTGGCACTGTGATTTCAGTGATGCAATTGGATCCAACAAGATAATATATACAGACTCAGTCACTATATTATCTAATGCAGGGGATATGCCCTACGGGGGCTGCTGCCCCCCATCCCCCACCCAGGAAAACAGAATCCTCCACATATTCATGGCGGGGAGAGAGCATCAGACAAACTTGATCATGTGTATATTATTTACTTTTTACCCCAGTACCTTTCATGCACTCCCCTGCTATTGGGGACAAGAATGTGAGGGCTAGGTTTGTTTATAAGCAATAACTTCTGTATGTTTGGATATTAGACAGCAATCCGCTGTGCATACGTATTAGCAAAAATTACCCTCTTATATTCTTCAATATATCATCTTTACAAAATATTCCAGTTAATCTTTACGGTTTGGAGGCACTCAACTCATGGCCAGTAATTTTTTGGAATATGCCTGTCTAACAGATCGCGACAATTTCAGTATTGTTGGATTCCTCTCACTGTCTAGTTTCTAAAATATAGAAATTATTTCACTGAAATCCCCCAAACCCCCCAAGTTCTTGGCCCCAATAGCTGGGGAGGGCATGAAATATACTAGCAAAATGTATATCATATACACAGAATCAGTCACTATACTGTCTAATGCACATCCCGTCCAGGAAAAAGAAATCCTCCACGTATTCATGGCAGGCGAGAGCATCAGATAGACTTGGCAATGCCGCTCCCACATGGCAGTCATATGCTCACACACTGCCCTGCCATAAATATGGGAGGATTCTTTGTTTCCTCCCTGCATTAAACGATAATTGTCACTGAAGTTGGATAAAAAACTTTCCTGCAGGAAGTCCAATGATTTCATCGATTCTGAGTGCTGTTTCTTCTGTGAGCAAATCATGAGGAGATGGAGTACTATTTCTCCAACAACAATCTTGATTTGATAGTCCGATAGCAGGTGAGGGCATGAAGTATATCAAGTAAATTATGGGGTAACACATACTTAAATAAGGAGAATAGCGAACAAAAATGCATAAAACTAAAAAAAAAAAAAAAAAAAAAAAAAAAAAAAAAGACAACTTAAAATTCGCCAATGAACTACTGAATTACTTGCTATCTTTGAAATTCTACGGACCTTTCATCAAAATCTAACAGGATTTTACACGTTCCATACCCCCCCAAAAAGTACTGATTAATAACCAACCCAATCTAACAATTGAAGTGGCTGTGACTAGGTATGCCCTTTGGGCTCTGCCCAAGGGGAGGGTTGATGGAATCTCCGCCCCCCTAACACCCCCGGGGAACATTCTCTTCACCTCAGTATGTATGGCAAGATAGAGCTGCATTCACACTAGAAAATAATAAACCA